GACCTGGTTAAGGTTCTGACTCAGGATATTTCAGTAGCAGATGAGAATATTAGCTTTGTTGACTCCAGACTTGTTTGTACAGTACATCAGTTAGTACACGGTGTACCTAAAAAAAAAAAAAAAAAAGCCATCTGAATCCTTGTACAATACTGACAGTGTATAATTTCTTCCAGGTTGTTTCAAATGTCTTTGATAACATGTAAATAGAGTCCTTTTAGGTGGTTGGAAGCATCACAGGAGGGTTTCTGCTTCTCTTCCTAACCGTATGGTGTTGGCGAAATGAATGTAAAAAAAGACCTTTAATTTCCAAATAACAGGTTAGCACAGTGCTAACCAGCTTTGACTTATTATATGATATGACATTATGACTGTGCTTGAAGCAGTAGTTTGACATTTATAGAAATATTCTTTCATGTGGAGTTGGATGAGAAGCTCAGTATCATTACTATATCTCTCTTGTAAATACAAAAGAAATGCGACAGGCAGCTGTTAGTTAATGTAGCCTAGCATAGCTTCTGGTAATAGTTACACTGCTAGCCTGACTGTATTTCCAAAGGTAACAAAAACTGGCTTCCATCAGCTTTAAAGTGTACACATTGTGTTTTTTAACTCCAAACACTTAACAGGACATGTAGGGGTTGAAACGTTTTTGACTATTTCTATGAAAAGAGCATTTAGCTCAACTAAAATGATGACTCTAGCTCCATATTTAGCATCCAGGACTGATCATCTTCTCATCCAAAAGCAACTTTTCTAACCACAAACCTGTTGAAGAAGTCTTTTAAAAGAACATCTGAATGACTTTTGAACTGATGTCTGAGTGTTGGGTACACATGTAAAGCCTCTTTATTTAGCCACACTGAAAGTAAATGTTAAATTATCCGTGTGCTGAGATTAAAATCATGGCTCTGCCTGTACATATCTGTAACCTGTCGGTCTGGTTAATGTGCGACTGCCCATGTTTATCTAACAGGAATAACCAGTTACACAGGTGGTGTTGACCTATGTAACTGGTTATTCCTGTTGATGAACATTTTCTACCTGTACCACTTGTAGCTTTGAATCTCTGATCAGTAATGTTCACGTTTAAGTCTAAAAACTGTTTTGTTGTAGGCCACTGGCCCTCAGCTGCATTGACTGATGGGAATGAACTATCAGGTTAAATGTCTTTCTGTGGATAGAGTAGATGTGTGTGTTATCTTTAGAAACAACAGATAACTTGTGCCAATGTGTGAACATTTGAACTGTGATTTTATGTGTGATTCTTTTGTGCCTGTTTGCTTAATTAAGACTATGTTCAAATCTACAGTCATAATATATCAAGAGACCTTTCAGTAAAAAGGGAAGGAAGATTAAATCAGTAGTTTGTTTCTTGGCAGAGTTCAAATTGTGTTCCGTCTTTGTGTTTTTATTGTGAAATCTAAAAAAATATATAAAGCTTTTTTTTTAATATTAAGATTTGTTTACAACTCATTGCTATTTTCATGAGTGACAAAGCAACATAAATAAATTAAATGATCAGTCATTCTTCTGAACAGTCTGGCTCAAATTGGCATGAAAAGAGGCATGTTTCACTAATTGTTTATTTACGTGTGTTAGGAATGGCTGTCCATACTGCTGTCCTTAAAAATGGATTATTGCACAAATGTGTGTGCGTTAAAATGAGGATTGATTCAAAAATTAAAAAGCTTTTTGTACTTACTGGTCTGAAGTGTGTGAATTGACTTCATTTAGGTTATTTTTAAGTTACCTTTCTGATTCAGGGCCTTTTTCATACAAGCATTTAGTAGGTGGAACATCAAGTACTAATCTCCTTAAAGATTTAACAAATACAACAAGGTACAAAGTCCTTCATACAAAATCCCACAGTGTGTTATCAGCAAACTGAACCCTCATCAGAAGTGATTCTTATGCTGAAAGATGACAGCCTCACCTTTATTTGATTATATTGGACATGGAAAGACTGATAATAGAACTATATTAGTTTGGAGATTCAACAATGAGTACAGTATGTATGTACTTTACTGTTGTAGCTGAAACATGGGAGGTTCTACTCAGGGTACAGGTTGGTAATGTCTGGATAAATCAGACGGTCAGAATGTATTTATCTACTCTTCACTTTTTAGTGAAGCTCAAAATCCAGACCTAAATTTAACTTTTTTGGGTAACTGGTAACAGATCATGGACTCCAAGGGGACAAACCTTTAGACAGATAAAACACTTAGGAATGATTTGTTTGTCAAAAGTAAATGCAAACCAATCTTTTTTTTCCCAACATAGGATTATATCTTTATTTGAAACTTAACTTGCAAGAAGAGCAACCAAGACACATGTTATAGATAATAACAAAAAGTTCTGATCAAGGAACACATTAGGGATGTGACACAGTACAAAATGTTCCTCTGATGTCCCCACAGAGCAGTAGCCTACACTGAATTCTTCACAGTGGCATCATGTTCCTGGCCTCCTCCTCATAAATGTCTGGTATTTCTCCCATGGAGGAGGAGACGATGCGGACAGAGTTACACCCCTGCAGCTTCATCTCATACATTATGAGCTGCTTCCAGAAACCACTGTTAGGCCTTACCATTGGTCGGCAGGTTTTCACCCACCTGTGGGCCTCCATCAGCGTCACTCCTCTGTGCTTCATCAGGTAGGCCATGCACAGGGCGGGGGAGCGGCTCACTCCGGCGTTACAGTGCACCAATGTCCGTCCTCCGCACTCCGCAGTCCGCTGAATCTGATCTGCAACCTCGTCGAAGTGCTCCATAAGAGGAGACACCGGGGAGTCAGATACCGGGATGTGGAGGAACTCCACCCCTGGAGAAGGAGAGCAGCTGCTCCTGGTCTCAGTGGCGGTCACTATACAAGTGATGTTGTATCGAGTCACCTGGGAGGAATCATTAGCCGCTTTACCATTACTGAGGTATAGGTGGTCGGTGACTCGGCACAGGCCGGAAAGCCCAGAAGGACCCAACTGGTGCATTAATGGTGAGAATTTTACCAGCGCAACGCTGCAGCTAGCTTGCCTCTCTGAAAATCTGCCAACTGTAAGGCAACACAGGAAGGCCACATTTATGTGAGCGCACACTCTGTCGCCCCCTGCTGCATGGGGTTTCTATTACACTCTTGTGCGTGAGAGGAGTCTATGGTGAGAGGCGACACCACACTTATTTTACTGAAAAGCAAACCATAAACGGACACCAAAAAAAAAAATCTTGTCTTGATAGCTTATTTTTTTCGTACCATATTACGCTGAACAAAAATTGTAAACGCGACACTTATGTTTTACCACAATTTTTCACGAGGCTACTACAAAGATCTAAGACTTTGCACACAAAAGGCCCATTCCTCTTAAATGTGTTCACTAATGTGTTACATCTGTGCTGGTGAGCACTTCTCCTTTACATCCTCTTGACAGTTGTGGCATGTCAAGATGCTGATTAGACAGCTAAATTATTGCACAGGTAGGCCAGTGCCATAGGCTGGTCACAGTTAACGGCCACTCTAAAATGTCCACTTTGATCACAAGGCCACAGATACCCCAAACTTTGAGGGTGTGCAATTGAATGCTGACTGCAGAAATGTGAACCAGAGCTGTTGCCCACAAATTAAATGTTCTTTTCTCTGCCCTATAAGCCGTCTCCAAAGCAGTTTTCAGAGAATTTGGTACTACATCCAACCGGCCTCACAACCACAAAACACATGTAACCACGCCAACCGTGGACCTCCACTTTTCACTGTGACAGGCATGTGGCATTGGGTGAGCGGTTTGCAAGGTCAAAGTTGTGAATAGAGTAGCCCATGGTGGCGATGGGGTTATGGTATGGTTAGGCATATGCTACAGACAACAAACACAGGTGCATTTTATTACATTTTGAACGCACAGAGATACCAGGACAAGATCCTGAGGCCCATTGTTGTGCCATTCATCCACCACCATCCCCTCATCATCATGCACGGTCTATGTTAAAAGGGAACTGTAGACAATATTCCTGAAATCTGACGAAATTCCTGTCCTTGCATGGCCTGCATACTCACCGGATATTTCACCAGGTGAGAATGTTTGGGATGCTCTTGATCGGTGTGTACGACAGCGTGTTCCAGTTCCTGGGTCCATCAATATCGTGCAGCCATTAAAGAGGAGCGGACCAACATTTCACAGGCCACAATCGACAATCTGATCATCTCTACGCTACAAGGAGATATTCTTTGGACAGCATGAGGCAAATGGTGGTCACACCAGATATAGGCTAACAGGTTTTCTGTCTGAAGTGGAAAAGACTTCTGTACAAATAAAGAAATGCACAAATCCAGCACATGATCAATCTCTCCATTTAGAAACCGGCTGGTTATGTAGGCTCCAAAGGGGTTTAGCCTAAGTGTTTGATCAACAGTCAAAAAAGTATTGACTATTGATCAAAGGTTTACAGAGGCTACATATGGTGTATGATGATGTCTAAGTATGTCATTAAAAACTGGTTCAGTTCACTTGTCTAGCTGTTCCAAATTAAACGGCACAGAAAAACTGCTTTTCAAACACATTTAGTGTCACACAAGTGTCAAAATCTCATGAGATACTCACTGCAGATGTTCTCCATTTTCTACCTACTACCATCCTATGAGCAAATGTGCATTTACAAATCTCTGAAAGTTAGGCTAATAGACACACAATATAAAACAAGTAATAGGCTACATAACCATATTTTAAATATCAAAGGAATATTGACCGAGTGGTAACCAATTCTGAAAATTAAGCATATAAAACGACCAGGTAGGCCTACTTCAAAATTAAATAGGCCTACACTGAACAAATAGCCTACATTTTAGATAGGCTACGCTTTAATCACTGATAAAATAAGAGAGTAAAAAATGTTTTTTAAGCTTGCAATCTGTTAAACAGAGTTTATCCTTTCAACAGAATACATCCTCCCAGTCTTAAAGCCTACGTAAGTGGAGTTATATGAGAATATCCTGGTGTGTTCTTGGGTGGAGGTGGTTGTAATGGATGAGCTGCTGGTAGAGCCTGCAGGCAGTCCTCGGTTGCCCGGGAAACACAGATGGTGGATGAAGGGCGTGCATACAAAAGAGCGTAAACCTGTGGCAGCAGCTGGAGACCGTGCCCGCTCATTATTCAGCTCTGTGCGGCCCTGCTTACTCAAAGGCGTCGCTGTTCTCGTTAATGCCGCCTATCCATTTTCTTTGTCCCGGGGCTTCCGGCTCCACTTCATCCTGCTTTCTCCCCGGACCGGACCAGTCAGTGCGCAGCTGCTGTCGGCACTCCCAACATCTGCTCGTCTCTGCTCGGCAGCCATACAGACGACGCTCCGCCGCGGCTCATGTTGGTGCGTAGCTTGCCGTCCAGACGGCGAGCAGCCTCCTCACTGCAGGCGGTGGTCACACACAGCACACACACGGTGTCGTTTAGCAAGTCAGAGAGCTTAAACTCAACATGGAAGAAGACGACGACGACGAAGAAGATGTAACCTAATGTTTTCTCACCATTTGATGATGCGGGACAGGTGCACGAAGAGCCCAAAGATCTCTGGTAGGAAAAAAAAAACCTTATTGCGCCATTATTATCCTCATCTTTAAATTATAGGCTACGTTTTTATGTCGCTTATTAGGCTACAGAGGTTAGTTTTAAACAATCTCTGAGATTGAATCAACTTCGACTCTTTTGTTTCCTTCAGAAGGCCTGTAGTGTCTCCTCAACCTGACATCCTGTCAGCGTTTATGAATATTAAAATGTGCTTATTTATAGACTGTTCCTGGTTGGACACTTACCGGATAGAATTAATCTAATTTGCAATAAAGAAATATGTTGCTCTAGGCAGTGCTAACCTACAGTGCATACAGTATAGCCTATATTGCATATCGATTGTTTCCATATAATTATCCATGTGTTTACAGCCTGGAGCACAGAAATGTAACTCAAACCCAAGCAATGGTTTCATGATCTGGTTTTATACATTTTTAGTTGTTCCTACAGAGCAAACAAGGTGTATAGGATAACAATAGTAGTGAAAAAAATATCATATACTGTGACATCAAATGTGTTACTTCCATATTCAGCGTGATTTTATTTATTTTAGGTGACCTTGTGGTCAGTGTTGAATGGACCGTACACAGGCTTCATCTCCAGAGCTGCTGACATGTCTCCAGACAAGACACAGGGAGGACCTAACACCCGGACAGGTTATGTGTACAGGCTAAGTTATCTTCATTTAAATCATGAAGAATATTCATTTGTATTGGCACACAGTAACAGATGGATATTTAAATAGCATTACTCATTTGGTTAGATAACTGGTATCAATGCAGCCCATCTCAAGTGACGTATGTTTTACTCTCATTTGTGTCAAAAAAAAGAGGACAAAAAGAACAAACCAAAATGGAAAGAAATCCCGGGGGTGTCATTGGAGGACAGTTGGGCCGCGTCCCACTTTTTCTGCTGCTGTGTGTTGTGTGTTTTTCTCCAGTTACGCTGATGAAAAGGCAGATCACGGCTCGCACCAGACCCCAGCAGCTGCATCATCGCTCCATCGCCCTCTGCTGCATCGCCTCACAGAGAGGATCCATCTGCAGATTTACACCATGGTGACTTTTATTCCCCTCATATTCACTTTACACTCCACACTGAGACTTGTTATATAGGTCTAGATGAATATAAATGGCTTTTTCCACATACAGGCTGTGTTCCTGTGTGTGTGTGTGTGTGTGTGTGTGTGTGTGTGTGTGTGTGTGTGTGTGTGTGTGTGTGTGTGTGTGCTAAGCCTCAGTGCTGTCTGAGAGTGCAGATAAATAGGGGACAGATACAACATGCAAGATTAGTTATGTGTTAAATCGCTGCCATATTTTCTGCTATATGCAATACAGTCCTTTGCAGGATTACGGCAAAGGGAAGAGATAAACCAACCTGAAAGTGAAGACCATATGACGAATTCAGATTAACATAATGAGCTTCTCTGACTCACTTTTCAACATTATGCAGGATTAACTGTGAAAATGTTTGCATGGTGGGGAGACTGGAAGACAAACATGCCTATATGAATGTTTGTAAGGTGCTAGAAAACAGAAAAATCTGAAAGTTGCACCACAATCTACTTGTAATTCTTCTTTTTATTTCCATTTGACTCAAACAACCCTCATGTTATTTGTCTTGCAGTGATTGATGCACGATGCCATGCTTTCCTGCAGCTGCAGAAGGAGAGGGTCCATGTCCAAGAATTTCCCAACAGAGAGACGACTTAGGTGTACCAATGAAGTGGCTTCCAGAAGAAAAAAAGCTTTGCACTCTGTCAGCATGATCACATTTAGCAGAAAGGCATTTCATGGGTGGTGTTTTGAGTCCAAAATGATTTGCAGCACATTTTTGCCTTCTTAAAATGTGTTGTGGGTAATTTTAATGTAGCTTCATTCACCCACTCTATTTTTTTGTCTAATCAAAACAACACTGCAGCAATCAAACATCTCTTTTGCATCTTTTTTTCCTGCAGCTTCTGTGTGCAGTGACCTCTCTGCTCTGTTAAATTGGTTACTCTGTCCAACACCTTCTCCCTTTGTGAGAGGGGCTTTAATAATGCTGTCCTGGGTGTTAGCTTCTCACTTCTCTCTGCCAGATCCAGATCTGTAAAATCTGATACTCTCAGCCTGTAATGTTAACAAAAAAAAAAAAAAAATCTGCTAAAAGTGTGTGAAAAGGATGACCAGTTTTCTCACATTTTGAAAATGTGTTATTCACACAGTATGTTCTTTGTTTGTCTTAAAACAATACACAGTCAGTGTATTTATGCTGTAGTGTGTGGGTGCTTGTGTGTCTGTGTGAATGCGTGTGTTTGTGTGCATGTGTGTGTGTGCATGTGTATTATGTCTGTATAATGAATCTGAAATTTGCAAACGGTCCTGAAGCTGCTAGATGCTTATTGATGATTTCCTTATATCTTCTTATATCTATCTTAAGTTTGAAAATGCAGTTTTTCTTCTTTTATCCTCTGAATGTACCAGACATGGGATAAAAACTATTTACAGATGATTTTTTAGCTGCATCAGTTTCAGCCTCATTGAAGTGCCAGATATGGAGGGGATTCTTGTGATTGAGATAATCACAAGAGTGTGGCTGTAAATGAATGGTGTGTAGTTTTCTAAATGATGCCTGCTGGCTCTAATTAAACCGTCCTAACGCCCACAGCCCCATCTTCTGATACTTGACCAAATTACAGCAATTGCTAATAATTATGTGCAAATAGCTTTTGACCCAAGTCTGGCTTCTACTAACAGTATCTCACTAATATCTAACAATACTAATGTGTGCTGCTAACAGTCAGTGATTACTAACCTGGAATCTGAATGCTGATGGCTGGCCTTGTTTTCTTTCTAACACACAGACTAACCCTCTGCTTTACGCCTGCAGTGCGACACACACTCCTCTCTCTTCATCCTGCAATCCTTCTTAGAAATGACCAGCTTCGATTGATTTTTTTTTAAAGAAGACAATCAATAAGAAAAGTCCTAAAGTCAAGAAGGGTTTCAGGAAATTGGGAAAAATATAAACCAAGAAATGAAAAGAGGAGCAGAAACAGATGCTGATATCAAACTGGGTTGACCACATATTTTAAACAAATGATTTTGATCTTATTCCAAATGAAATAAGTGCACTGTGTCACACTTTAAATACTAATTCACATCTTTAACTACATGTATTTTTAAGTTTTTCTCTCTGTCTGTGCGCTGTGTGGTCAACCTTAACAGATGAGCACCAGGCTTGTTGTAAACACGAGGAAAAAAAAGCACAAGCCAAGCAAAGCTAAACTCCTACTAACTTTATTATTCTGGTGTTTGATACTAACATCGGTGAAGCTGCAAAGCTCCACCTGTCACTCCTACTAACATCGCTCTTCTTTTTTATTCTTGAAATCAAATTCTCTTGTTTACAAATTAGAGCATGCCCTACTAATTTTGTTTTTAACACCATTGTATGAAAGCTGAAATCTGAATATATATTTTTTGTACCACGAGACTGCTTCTAAAGTCGGACAGCTCTACTCGTGTTAGTGATATGCTAAACAGAAGTCCTTACCAACAAATGTGACTATTTCGTTCTCTTAATAACCTACTAACATCAATAAACCTGAGTCTAACCAAAGAGCTTATATAGGCTCCCTGCAAACTAACAAACTAACCCACTAATAAACTAATCATCTAACAAACACTAACAAAAAAACACTAACTGTGTGCTGAGTGGCAGAATTAGCGAAGCACCCTGATTATAAGGAGCTGCGTCACTCATTGAATGCACTAACATGATTAAGTTTGGAGTTTCTGAAGTGATTGAATGTGCCTGTGTGTGTGCACATGTTTGTGTGTGTGCGAGAGAGAGAGAGAGAGAAGGCAGAAGATGTATGTTTGTTTCTGTGCTTACAAATGAAAGTGGAGGATGTATGCGTGACCACTTTTACGTCTTAAACAATAATCAAGTCTAGAAATGCAGATGAATATATCCATTAGCAGTCTTTCAGCCTGTATGAGCTGCTGCTTCTATAAAGCTTCAACTTTGAATCATCATGCATGTCAAGAGTTCTGAATTTAATGTTCACAAATATTTTTCACTTCTTCCTTATTCATCTTGTCTTAGAAACATATTTTTGGAATAAATAGATAACAATGTATTTCTCTCTGCTATTAATTATTCACATAAAAAAATGCAATCCACAGATTTTTTATAACATAACAATCAGTCCAGAGGAGCATTCGAAAACACAGGGTACAGCAAAGTCCTTCCAAAGAACATGTTTTTCTGCACACAGCCAATAAATATAAAGGTATTTTACCACTGTGGCGATGTGGAGGGCCACCTTCAGGAGCGTCATTACAATAAATAACATCTCTGCTCTCGTGATTGCTGTAATCATACAATGTAGTGATTACTGTCGCAGCAGGTGAAACACATGCAGAGTCCAACAGAACCCATTCTGTTTGAAGTCTCAGATTCAGAATAAATACAATACAAATGGAAACATGCATACCTGTTCTGTTAAAGTTTTGAATTTTAAATGTATGCTTGTATGTAAGGCCTTTGAATATTTCTAAGACACCATTATAACTATATAACCGTGTGAAAACTCTGAATTATTATGTATAAATCCCCTAATTTAATGCTGCCCAGCTATGTTTTTCTGCTAATTTACATGTATGAGGATTTGAAGATTTCATGTTTGCAGTGTTACAGCAGGGGGCAGCAACTCATCAGGTGAAAGGATCTGTTGATCATTGGTGCAGTGATTGTTTTTCCTCATGTGTACTGCTTGTCCTGCTTATATTTGCGGTTGCTCGATTAACGAAAGAAATGACTTCATATGAATAACTGTTAAAAATTATTAAACAGCATATTTACTGTGGTGCAGTTAAATAACCACATTTCTATTGATCCATTACCACATTATACAGACTATATTCCATTTAGGAGTTTCCCCTTTATGATTTCCTTAGAATTAATGAGTGTGGAAGTTTTTAAATCTGAATTACACAATGTTAATATACTTTACTCAATATGTTTACCCATATATAAAACATGACCGATAGTTTTGTTCAGCATTAGTCAGCGTCAGCACATTTTATGTTTAAAACATGCACAGAAAATTCTTCAGGAGTATAATCTTTAATGGAGCAAATAGAAAAAATGAATCATGTTTTCACTGATATGACCTTAAAAAAAGAATCTGCGACAGTGAAGACATGCTGGATTAAAGGAATATCTTGTTTCTCAATAAAACGTATTTTTGACACCTTGCTTGTTATCAGACTTATTTTGATTCATCCTCTTGAAATCAGACATAATCCAAATGCAATGTGCAAATAAAGTATTGCTCATTTGGTTGTTGGAGGTCAAAGGTCATCTTAAACCATTTGCCGAGCTGAGCTCAGCAGTGTTCAGTGACATCAGAGACAACAAAACTATCCCTCAACATGCAACACAGCAGATGAGAAATGTTTCTGATCATTCTGGCTTTATTCTTCTTACAGAAAAAGCTCAAACTCACCCACCTCAGTGAACCTTCATTCCATCGTCCTCGTCTTCACTTGTGTCAGACAGAGAGTGCTCTGCTTTGCCCCCAACTAGAACCCGATGTGATCCAGATGACAGGGGTTTCCAAAGGTATAGGAGCAGCGGGGCCCGAGGTCTTCATGGGTCAGCTGTAATTCAGCGCAGAGCTCAGAGAGCAGGGTCTTAGCACACACAAAACCCCTCACAGAACACGGAGGCTCCACTTAAAGTCTTAAATATCACACAAACTGCAGTTCAAAGGCAGGTATGTTGGGATGAAAAACATTAATCGGCTTAATGATGTTCTCCAGTGAATGGTTAGTTTGGCCCCAGACTTTGAAAAAACACAGTAATGCTCAGGTTTACAGGGACTGGGATGCAGCTGAGGCATATGTGGCCTAGAGAGAGTTTTAGAGAAGAAACAGAAGAAAACACTGGCAAGAAATAATTCCACAATTATCTCATCATTTCAGAATTTCTTGAGGTTTTACCGATTGTCTATTTCTGTTTGAGTCTTTCCCTGAGCAAAAGGAGTACAACACAGTGCTTATATGTGTGTGTGTGTGTGTGTGTGTGTGTGTGTGTCTTTGTTTCTGTGTGATCCAGAGGCAGCTCTTTGTAACCAGAGCCTCCATCACAGGGAGGATGTCTACTGAAATAACAGCTCGCTGCCTGCAACGGAATTTGTCTGTAAGCTTTAAAAGATGGTGAGAGAAGAAGAAGACGGTAGAAGAAAAGGTGAGCTTGGGATGTGTGGTAATCAGCAGTGCTCTGCTCTCGTGAGTTTAAAATAGTAAATCCTCTCAAATACAGTTCAAGGGCTAAATGAAGAGTTCCCCCCCTGTAGGTATGTGTGTTTGTATGTCTGTGTGTCTCTGCCTGAATGAAGACATGTTAATCTGGTTACAAAGTCGAGGTTTTCTATTTTTGGGATACGAGTCCTGCTCTTAATTCACTGTTATTAAATGTGTTTTAAAAGTTTAAATAGTTCACACTGCCTACACTATACACTCACAAATAATTTTATATTTTACACAGAGTTGTGAGTCGTTAATGCAGGAGCTGTGAAGTTATAGTCTTAAAAATAAATGTTTGACCTTTTTTGGCAAAAGGTGAGGAATGAAACTGAGTTACTTTCAGTTTGCATGATTTTTCTCCGACTCTCAAAGAGTATTTTTATTTGTAATTTGTCAACTCCCAATTTAAATAAAAGCTGAATTTTACTTTGTTTTTTTTGTTGTTTTTTTACAGTTGCACATGTATTCATATATAAAACGCCGATAGGGGCTCAGGTAGCATAGTGGCTAGTGCACGCACCCCATGTGTGAAGGCTGTAGTCCTTCAAGTGGGCGGCCCTGGTTCAAATCTGACCTGTGGCTCCTTTCCCGCATGTCCTTCCCCAATCTCTCTCTCCCTGATTTCCGACTCCGTCCACTGTCCTATCTGTACAAAAAAAACTCAAAAAAAGAGTTTGGTCATGCAAACTGCCTCACAGCCAATCACACATGCATCAGGGCTCATGGCCGGGCCTCATATTATTTTGGGCCCCAATATAAGTATCAGAGAGCAGGAATGAAATTGCAGAGCAGCAGAATTTGGGTCAGAGGTTGAGGGTCTTTAAATATACTATAGAGGCTTTAACACAGGGGGCAGAGGTTCATGAAAATGGTTTGCAGACTTTAAAAACATTTGAAAAGAGGAAAATCCAGCTAATCTGTATGAACAGGGCAATTCTCTGTTCTGACCAGACCGCAGGTTCTTCTCAGCACCAAAAAATGTAAAGACTGACATGAATCCATGTCCATGGACCCACAAAATATAAAGCCACCTCATGGTAGATTTTGGTTTTATATTAAGTTGATGGTGAATTACATGTTTGAAGCAGTTTTACTGCAGTGATATACACATTAATGTGAAACTGACTTTTTCAAATCCCCATCTTGCAACGCATCTTGTAGTATTTGCCCTTTGTCCAAAAATGAGATCATAAAATGGAATGTGAATCTAATGTCTAGGAATTAGTCGGAGTGCTGGGGAGTTGGAGTTAGCTTTGCATAAAGAATGGGACATTTTTTTTAAAGCTAGATTGGCTGCCTCTAAAAAGAAATACAGCTTTAAGCACCTACAGTAAAAGCCATATTCTTTACTTTTTATATTCCATAACAACAATCATTTTTATTTTTATTTGTATGCACAGGGTTAAAGAAAGAAGAAATACTATGTCCATAAGGGCCAGGCTAGGTGTTTTCCCCTGGTTCCAGTCTTTATGCTAAGCTAGGCTAAACAAGTATTTGGTTTAGTATGCAGGCCTACTAAGTTGTATCTTTTAATCTTTTTAAAATTGTTATGAGGGTGCAGAGTTTTTAGAGTTATTTTCAGGTCTAGGGTTGTTCGTGATATGCACTGATGAATATGCTAAGGAAGAAGCTTTTCTTCTTGATACTGTCCCACCTATCAAGGTTGATATTAAGAAGACAGGCAAAGCTGCAAAACAAAAATGATCTATAATTCCCCTCAAAAGGATAGAAGCTAAAGTAATGACCTAGTTTTAATAATAATCGTTGTATAAAGTAGATATATTTGTGTTGAATTATTGGGGGTAAAGATAAAAAACAGTAAGCTCTTTGTTCTTTGATGATTCTTGTTTCATGTTGTTCCTCCTTTTTGCTTCTGAACTTTAAAATAATCCTCCATTAAACATTCAACATGATCAACTTCCTTTACACTTTTCATCACATGATCTTATTTTCTTACTCCATGTCCTCCTCCCCATTCACGTCTTTCCTCCAACACTGAATCGTGTTAAAATGGTGATATGAAGCCTGAGACCTGGTGCTTTCTAAATGTCTTTCTTTCTCCTGCCTGCAGCCAACACTCACAGAGCAGATAAGTGGACAGTCGGCGAGGACCAATCTGTCTGGCTGGCTGCTAAATGATGGACAGTAATTAAAAGTTAGCTAATAACCTCTTCACACCTGACATTTCAACAGGGAGGTCCTGGACACCATTATCTACATATAGATTAAACAGCGTAATTGGCAGGGAGATAGGGTTAGGAGGATCGTGGAAAGGAAAAGGAGAAAAAAAGGCCAGGCCATCGCCAAACCATTAAGCAGAATATCTGAGTGACACTCTGATTTTGCTCTTCTTGTTAATGCGACAGGAATTGAGCTGAACTAAAACGCTAAATGAATGAAGCCTATCTCGTTGTGGTTATTACCGGGGCAAACATCGGCCATGGAAAATAGCTTTAATTTCATAATAATTGCTGGATGGACGTGACTCGTTAGAGACACAATATGAGCGAGAGAGGAGAGCGGGGGGAGGGAGAAAGAAGAGGGAGAGGAGAAACTCTTCTGAGAGTGCGCACTGTTAGTTGGTCTTCAACACTCGTGCTCCCACACACTGCAATTTGCTCATTGATGAGTGAAAGAGCGGGCTGATGAGCTGGAAATGAAGAGAATTAGCTGCACTGTAATTAGCACTGTGGACATATGAAATACTTACATGTTCATGAATGGGTTCACAAACACTTTTTACAGTTCCTAGGTTTGTATTTTAACGCAGAAGGCTATTAATCATGCCTTGCATCAGCATATAATTAATAATTACTGATGGCCTCATTAATGAATGAGATATTTGGTTTCCCAGGTTTAAACTGCCTCTGTTCTTTGTCACCATTTAGGCTGTTAGTCTATGTATAAATTACCATGCTATAAAATGATCTACTCTTGATGAGTAGTTTGACATTCCGTGAAATTCACTTAGTAGCTTTCCTTTTCAGAGTCAGATGAGAAGAAGGATGCCACTGTCGTATATTTTTCCTGTTTTCTCTTTCTGTCCATATAAAAGCCAAGCTCATTTAATGCAGGTTTGCAAAACTGCTTGCGTAAACCCCAAGATGTTGCTTCTCCTGTCCGAGATCTTATGACACAGTAATGTAAAACAACTTGTTGATGTACTCTCAAATTTGTGTACATGAGAAACCAAAGAGAAGCATTGTGTTCACTGATATTCTTACTTTGATAGAAAGTTTTATCAAGATGTGTTTATACAGTTTTGTAAAGCGAGAGCTTAAGGGCTTTCTGTTGAAATCTCTTTCAAAACAAAACTGAACTAACCCAAATCAATATTTAAATTCTGGAGTACAATGGTTGTAAATCTGAAATCTAAACATGCTGCCATTACTCAAAGTAGAGGAAGAACGTCGTCCACACCTCAGCACTAAAGTCCATTCTGTAGTAACTCTTGTCCAATTGTAAAGATAGTTGAAAAGAGAGGCAGACTAGCTTAAAAAAAGCCATCCTGCATGAAAACCCGGCTTATTTTCTCTCTGTAAAATTAATCAGGCTGACAGTGAAAAGTGGACAATAATGACAAAAACATGCAGAAACCTCCCTGAAGCTATCAAACAGCTAATGGTTACCTTAAAACCTGCCAGGTCACTGCTCTGTGCTGTTTCTGACTCGTGTTATTATTCAGTGATGACCATAAAGCCTCTCTCCAGCTACAGGAGGGTCATTTAGTCCAATTTAGATTTTTGGCCTATTATGTTCAGTGTTTGAAAAAGGGCAATTAGCCTTCTGCTTGACACGATTGCTTTTAACACAATAGTCGTTCTTTTCCCTTTTCATAAAAGAGGCATTCAAAAAGGAATAATACTCTACCCTAAACCCTAAAAAATGCCTCTGTATCCCACTGAAAAACACTGGGTTTCATGGCAGAGTGGGCTTTTCTACTTTCCT